ATCACTGTTCTAGGATTTTGTCTTTCTAATCCCATCAGCTCCAAGCTTCCTGGCTCCAATCTTTCTGACAAGATTATCACATCTGCATTTCTGCAGACCTGGTTTTTGTTTGCTGCAGAGAAACTTGGGGGAGAGGTGGTTTCTGCCTTTAAGATCCTTTGGGGAAATATAATATTCTGCCTTTTAATATTCCCCAAAATATTTCTTTCTCTGGGGGAAGCTGACTTCCCACACCACCATGCCAAATCAAAACTCAGGCTTTCAGAGAGGTTATATATGCCTAAGTCTGGGAAAGGATTTACAAAATTTGCAAAAACAATTGGATGCCAAAAATTCCACTTCCTGGGATTCTAACCACTGCCCATTTGCCCATGCCAAACTGCCCAATAACTTTAGCGGAGGGTAGAATGTAAGATGCTGATAAGAACCCCAGAATCTTATCATGGGTTCTACAAGTAGCTCTTAGCACTACTGATGTCAAAGTACATGAGTAGTCAATTTGATTTCTCTATTCTCTATCTGATGGTATTCCTTTTGTATAGGTATCTGGTTTTTTTTGAAGATTGTATTAATACTGGCATAATTGGATTGACATAAATTGATAAGTTATTTTCCTGCTTCATTTCAGTTTCCTAGACCAGATATTTTCCTCAATATTTCCAACCTTGGCATACCAGCCTCTACAAGCAGTACATTTGAACTCAGTTGCATTCTTTTCCATCAGTAGCTGCAGTATAAACTTGGATAACTTTTATATTAAAGATCAATTGATATTATTTGGCTGTTAACTGCACAGTACCCAAGCATCTTTTTTGACTATGAAAGCAATGACATTCCTTTGTTTTTCATGTCCTGAATAGTAAATGGTATGCTAGTCTAACTGAAACTACCTGATTCCAAACCATTTCACTTTATTGATGCCTAAGATTCAATGTGTAATCAATTCATTTAATCTTTCATTGTGTTGAGCTTTCCTGTGTTCGTGTTTCTTACATTCCATGTTCTCATTGTAATTTTGTCTTTGCAGCTTTGATGCTCTTTTACTGCATGGTAACATTAACAAGCAAGACATCAGGGTTTTAATCTCGTCATGCCATTANAAATCATACACGGCTGAAATAAGAAGTATATGCACTATCCATAGAGAAGGAAACTGGCATGGTTTTATGTTCCTAAAATCATACACGGCTGAAATAAGAAGTATATGCACTATCCATAGAGAAGGAAACTGGCATGGTTTTATGTTCCTAAAATCATACACGGCTGAAATAAGAAGTATATGCACTATCCATAGAGAAGCAACACATTTTTATTACAACATTCAAATATTCAATGCCAAATTAATATTTGTATTATTTTTATTCACTTACTAAGGCTGTTCTGTTGCCAAGCCACATTGAATGATTGCATTCTAATCCTGCAAATACATAAATGGTTTTTCTTTTTATCCCCAAGTACAAAGAAAAGACTGCAGTGTGATGATTCAACCATTAAAAATCTGAAATTCCTAACACCTGTGAGACGGTCCTGCCGCATCCATGAAAAAGCAAATAAGTTACCAAGTATGCTGAAAGATCACAGCCCTTGTGTTTCTTCGCTTCAACAGCTTGGAGAATTGGGAGATGAAGTCACTGGTTTCATCTACAGACCAAACAATGCATTGCAAACTATCAGTCAACAGGACGAAAGCAGAGAATGAAAGCACATGTTTATTTAAGTTGAAGTCCTTTAACTTAGTGCAGGTGTTATGTTGCCATGGTTTAATTAAGTTAATTTAGCTTTACTGTTATTGAACAAATAAATATCTTAACATGGGAATGATTGCTATGCTTTAACATGTAAAAGATGCATTTATACCAATTTTACCATTGGTGATGCTAAACTAATTGTATAATAGCATTTAACTAAGTTGAACTTTGTGGGCAAAGAACACAAGATTATTGTATCTAATTTGTAGATCTGAAGATAAACCTTTACAAATATTGGAAATAGTCACTATTGGATAATTTTCAATGTATATTAAATGTTAATTCACTTTTACTGTTGGTGTAAAAATTTTTTAAATTTACCTTTTTCAAAAAGTTTGAATTTTATATTAGCTGTTGGTGTGTATATATATGTATATTATATAATATACATATAAAGTATATATTATATATTGTATGTTGGTATATATATGTATGTTTATTATATATGTTTGGGTGGGCAAAGAAATTGAAATAGAACATTAACAACTCTGTGAAGATTGTGGAAATAAAATTGCCAGTTTTATAAATGCTGTTCTTCTGAAAGATTTGATCAGTGGTTAGAAGTAGCATGCTAATGATTTAATATAAAAATGTGGGTGCCTATTAAGGACATTGGAAGTAACAGTTTGTAACTCCCAAGCTGAAATCCATGGAGGTGGCAATGACAATGCTTTATAAATATTTCAACAATGTTTATAAAGGGAAAATATAACAAATACACCCTATCTACATTTTGTAGGCCATTTAGACAGTTTGATTTGTTCTTTGCTGTTGAAGTGAGGTATCCCACTGTTGAAAGAAAAATCTTCATCAGGGTCCAGTCCAAGCTGGGAATAAACAAAATGGAGACTGCTTTAGAAAGAAGGTTGTAGTTTATTGAAGAGGAGAGCCAGACATAAAGATGGCTCTGGGAAAGGTGGGTTTTTATACCTTCTTGAGCTTTTGTTTGGAGTTGTTCCTGTGGCATGAACTTTGACCTGAGTCTGAGTGCCTTTCTGGTATTCTGATGGTGGTGAGTTAATCCTATTATGTCCCAAAGTTCATATCCTGCTTCCCTGGGGCTGGGGCTGATGACCATGTCCTGTGTTGGATTTTTTTGGTGTAAGGGATTGTTGATTCTAGGACAGTGGTGGCGAACCTATGGCACGCGTGCCAGAGGTGGCACTCAGAGTCCTCTCTGTGGGCACATGTGCCATCACCCCAGTCCCACCTCTCCCCGTGGCTCCCTCATCATCAGACCCCCGGAAGAGAGTTGACCCTGAGCGCGGCTCATGCAGAGCAGCACAGCCAAGAACATGGCAGCCAGGCAGCAGGGACAAGACTCCGCCCTCATGCCCCATTGCGTGCAGTTGATGCTGTGGGGTGCGGGCAGAAGGCATGGCTAACATTGCTCTGCTGGGCCGCCTAGGTGATCTGCAGTGGGCTATGGAGGCGGTGGGTGGCCCTGCGGGTGGGCAGGGCGGGGGCAGGTCTGGTTTTTGGGCACTCGGTCTCTAAAAGGTTCGCCGTCACTGTTCTAGGATTTTGTCTTTCTAATCTCATCAGCTCCAAGCTTCCTGACTCCAATGTTTCTGACAAGATTATCACATCTGCATTTCTGCAGACCTGGTTTTTATTTGGGGGAGAGGTGGTTTCTGCCTTTAAGATCCTTTGGGGAAATATAATATTCTGCCTTTTAATATTCCCCAAAATATTTCTTTCTCTGGGGGAGGCTGACTTCCCACACCACGCCAAATCAAAACTCAGGCTTTCAGAGAGGTTATATATGCCTAAGTCTGGGAAAGGATTTACAAAATTTGCAAAAACAATTGGATGCCAAAAATTCCACTTCCTGGGATTCTAACCACTGCCAATTTGCCCATGCCAAACTGCCCAATAACTTTAGCGGAGGGTAGAATGTAAGATGCTGATAAGAACCCCAGATTTTTATCATGGGTTCTACAAGTAGCTCTTAGCACTATTGATGTCAAAGTACATGAGTAGTCAATTTGATTTCTCTATTCTCTATCTGATGGTATTCCTTTTGTATAGGTATCTGGTTTTTTGAAGATTGTATTAACACTGACATAATTGGACTGACGTAAATTGATAAGTTATTTTCCTGCTTCATTTCAGTTTCCTAGACCAGATATTTTCCTCAATATTTCCAATCTTGGCATACTAACCTCTACAAGCAGTACATTTGAACTCAGTTGCATTCCTTTCCATCAGTAGCTGCAGTATAAACTTGGATAACTTTTATATTAAAGATCAGTTGATATTATTTGGCTGTTAACTGCACAGTACCCAAGCATCTTTTTTGACTATGAAAGCAATGACATTCCTTTGTTTTTCATGTCCTGAATAGTAAATGGTATGCTAGCCTAACTGAAACTACCTGATTCCAGTGGTAAAGTGAAATAACTACGGATTCTAAGTTACACATTAGTTAAGTAAATTAGAAAGTAACACAACTCGAAAGGACACAAGCACAAAGAATGTAAGGTACAAGAGTAACATTAAAACAGAAACGTCGAAACTACGAGAAAATGACGTACCATTGTAATTGTTCGTTCTGTAGTCCCAAAATTAGAGCAGTACGGTAATGTCCCATTACTATAATACTCCAGAAGATCTTCAGTTCTTTCTCAACTGCAAGTTGGGCACCATCTGACCTATGAAGCCCATCATCCAATCTCACTTTGTCAGTCATTTCCTATTGTCCATACGTATTATTTTCTTGGTAAAATCTACTGCTTCTCCGGCAAAGTGTGAAATTATGCCTTCGTCATTGTCATTACAGTGACCCTCTGCCTCCAGGGCCTTCCCATGACTGCCCAATGCAATATCTTTAGCTGGGCAGCTGGGGATGACCTTCATGCCTTGGGTGGCTTCTTGGCACAGACTCGGGAACACTCCCACCACCCAGCCCGGGTGAAGCAGCAATTTGCAGGATTTGGGTGTGTGTTTGGGGGGGGGGGGCAATTCAAACAAAGAACCCCTACTTTTATTTCCAGCACTTGATTTCCCTATGTTTGAAACAGGCTCCATTAACACACAACCCCGTGGGTAGCAACAGTCTAGTATTCACGAGCTTACCAAGAAGTCCATTATCAAAGTTACTTCTAAAGGGATGCCTGGAAGAAAACCTACTCGGAGGAAACTAGGAATCTTGCTTCTGGCGGCGATCTTTTGCCCTGTGTAAAAGAAAGCTTTGCCCTTTTTCCATCGAAACCACGCCCATCGGAACCATGGTCTCCACCCTCTGTTCTTTGCTGGCGTCTCTGAACTGGCTGGGCCGAGCCAGGCAAGAGACTCGCTCGACCAGGATTTGCAGTGTCTCGGTAGGCAACCGGGGAGCGGTGGACGTCGTTAAGAGAGAGGGCCATTGCAAGCCCATTATGTGCATGCAAAGTACTGTAGTAAGAAGGGGATCTTTACTTTACGGCTCAGTCACTCAGCTGCTCTTTCTCCCCACAACGGATCTAGCTTCAAATCCTGAACGGGATTTGCTGCATGTAGGGTGGGAATTACTGGCTGGGTAGAGGGATGGATTTGAGGTTTCTCGACGTTCAGTCTCCGCCCTCCCATGTCTGAAAGGCGGCGTTGGAAACGTTCGTGTCCTTTGCCTCCCAAGCCCGCGGAGGCATTCAGGGCCGGTATGTTTCTTATTAAAAATGAAAAACGCTAATAATGCTAGTCTCTTACATCCCTTGCTCTAGTAGAGCTAAACAAAGGGAATAAAAAAAACCCTATTGCGCCTCTGATTTCTGTTCCACCCACTTCGGAGTGTGTGTGTTGTGTGTGTGTTTTGAAAAAATGCCCTATGTTGGTCAACCGTGTGTCTTTCATTCTCTTTTTTTTTTTAATTGAAAATTTTATAAAATGTTACAATATAAATCCCCCCCTACCCCAAACCCACCCTTCCACTCCCCCCTCTCTCCCCCCTCACTTCCCAGAGCCAATCACAGGGTTAACAACAAAATAATCATACTCTAACTAACGTTAATCAACTATTAAAATAACATACCTATAACCTCCTTTAACTCTCTTTTAAGCAAATATATACAGTTATTAAAGACAATAATAATAACATCACTTTAATAATTAAAAATAATACTAAGTAAACTATTCTAACCTTTATACAACAATAATATTCTAAAATTCACTCAAAAACCAAATGATATTTTTTGGTCCCATATTTACGCTCAATAGTGTCTTTCATTTTCTTGATGTACTGTAACTGCTGCCTTTGAAATTAATTCCCACAAATTGTGGGAACACGGGGTGGGGTTGTTTTTTTTTAAACATGCTTCTCCAATTCCCATTGTTTGATTGTGGTAATCAGGATAATAATTAAAAACAAAGCTGAAATTGTGTATCATCTGTGCCTTGGTTCAGATTTGCTTGTTTTTGGAGTAGAGAGTACCATATATTAACTCAATCTTTGGAAATAATAGTTTATGATAAACTAAGCTAATTATTGGGGAAGTTGGGTTTGCTTAATGACCATGTGATTTGCTTAACAACCATAATAAAAAAAATTGTAAAATTGGGCACAATTCATTTAACAACCATTTTGCTTAGTAGCGGAGATTCTAGTTCCAGTTGTGGTAATAAGTCAAGAACTACCTGTAGACATGATTGATATGAGTTTCACAGTTTAATTATTATGGCTGAACACAAGCATAATGTTCAAAAGTTATCTCCTTGATCTATCAGAGTTGGATGAAGAAACAAGAGACATACTTAGAAGTAGGTTGATTGTTGTCCAAGAAGGGGATTAATTGGAATCATTCACTGAAGTTGATTAATATTAAATTTTCTTTACATAGATGAGAGTATAAAGCAGGAAAATAATGACATGATGTCACCAGGTAAATGATGTACTTGCATCAGATATTGGGACATGATTGATAAAAATAATGTTTTTTTACATAATAATGTCATGATTTTTATGTCACTGTAGCTTGTAATAGCTATTTATGCATCTTTTGGGAATCCGATGTCTAGAGATAGTTCTGGTTCATGATATAAGAGTTATTTCCTATTATATTTTATATATTTTTGGACAAACAATTACCACCAATTATGAGCCACCACTAATTTCTAATTCAAGGGTAACCAAATAGCGTAGGGTTAAATAAGGAGACCTGCATTATTTTAATTATCCAAAGCTCTTCATTGAGCAGATTGGAAAAATAGCAAAATTAGATGTTGTTGTTAGTTGCAAAGTCGTATCCGACCCATCGTGACCCCATGGACAATGTTCCTCCAGGCCTTCCTGTCCTCTACCATCTTCTGGAGTCCACCTACTGCTTCAGTGACTCCATCCAGCCACCTCATTCTCTGTCGTCCCCTTCTTCTATTGTCCTCAATCTTTCCCAGCATTATTAGGCTCTTCTCCAGTGAGTCCGTCCTTCTCATTAGGTGGCCAAAGTACTTGAGTTTCAAGATTCAACTTCAAATTGGATAATGACTGGTTATACATATAAGTATATAAATATTTAATAATTTGCAAATCTTTTAGTTTTGAAGTTGGAGAGAGAGAAATGGAGTATAGCATAAAGATGAACTGATAATCAGCCATGTCTTTTATTTTGATGCTTGTTACTAGGAAATTCTGGTGAAAGGAAGCATTGAACCTACTGAGCTTCCTGAAGACACCTGCAAAAATTAAAGCATTTTGATTATCATGGAGAATTACAGTGTACTAATGGAACTTGGGGAAGGATCGTTTGGTAGAGTCCTCTTAGTCCAGCATAAAAGCGCAAGACAGAAATATGCAATGAAAGAAATAAGACTTCCCAAGGTAACTACCATTGCTCGTCCAACAAAAACAATTTTTATCCATGTACCTTTGCTTGAAGAATGCTACTTTCAGGGATCATGGAAGTAAGCTAGTCTAATAATTTCTGGTATAACATTATGCCCAAACCAAACCTAGGATATCTAGGGATTGTAGTTACAATTTATGTCTTTCATCTGAGATGAAACCTTTAGCTGATCCCCATTTAACAACTAACATTGCCTTCAGAGGTTTGGTTGGTGATGAAGCATAAGACAACTTTTGCATTAGTGGTGCCTTGTACGAGGACCTTGTTGCCTCAAGAACTTGCTCTGCTCTCTTTAACTTTCTCTGTTCTGGTGGCAATCTTGTTCAATAACATTTTCATTTGTTCTTTATCAAATGTTTGTTTAATTTTACATACCGGTTCCCTTTACTAAATGGAATGATTGGTTCTTTGTGATTTTTCTTCTTCTTGCTATTGTAAAGTTCTTTTGAAGGATGCTTTTACATTTGTTTAAAAATATTATTTTACTATATTCATAAATATTAAGCCACTTTGATGAGCAAAAGCAAGAAATGAAATACAATAAGTATAAAACAATGGGGTTTTTTTTACTTACAAGTAATATATTTTTAGTCTGTCTCCAATATAGAAAAGTCCTGGAATGAATCTATAATATTGGCTAAAATGAATCACCCAAATATTGTGATGTATGCAGACTCTTTTGAAGGTAAATAAGTGCATTTTAGTAATTAATATTACATGTTGTTACAGTTGCATTATTCAATTTGCTGAATTGCAAATGTTTTTTCATCTTGATGTTTACTGTTTGTTACATTGATGTAATACTAATGTATTTTAAAATTATTTAAAAATTAGCTGATGGACATCTGCATATAGTGATGGAATATTGTGATGGCGGAGATCTCCTACAAAAGATTAAATTGCAGAAGGGGAAATTGTTTCCTGAAGATACAGTAAGAATCCAAACATATTTAAATTTTTAAATAATTGAGATGGAAGATTTTGATGACTGTTGGGAGAGGTATTCATAGACTGTAGAGAAATATCTCTCCTTTATTAACACTCCTTGATTTATTGTTGTAGTCATAGCAGTAGACCAAAAATGTTATTAAAATGGAGCTAAATATAAAGAAAATAAAGTGCAAAGTAAAAAGGATAACCTTATAATGATTGTGCCCAAAATCAAGAGTCTGGCATCAGTTTTTCCAACTAACCAATTTTATTAAATGGCATATGCTTTTGAGAGCCATATTTCCCTTTATTAAATAAAATTTGTTAGTCTGGAAATGTGTTCCAGACTCTTAAATTTTAGTTTCTGCAGATAAATGCAGCTCTCCTTCTATAATGCCACTGATACAGAGTTTCTTTATACAATATTATGTAATCTTTTACATCAGCCATGGCAGATCAGGCTGAATTCATAACTTTTTGCTTTCACTTTGAAAAGTAAATATTTTAAAGAATGAATATTTCAAAACTCTGTTTTGTTTTTTGTTTTATTGCACATATATCGCATACCTGTATTTGTAAAAGATAAAGGATTGTTTTCATCCTTTAGAATCTGGAAATGTACTTTACCTCCTGTAGATGGTATCCACATAGACTTCTTTTGTTTTCAGACTTGAATAAGGGTTTAATTAAACATTTTTAGATGCAGTAAAGTATTATTTCTATGGTGGAACATGTTGCATGTAGCTCACAGTAATCCAATATAAAATTTCTTTGAGATTACTCAGGTTCCTATATAAACAAAGAAATGAATTAGTAGCATTCACGGTACTAGTGCAGATTAGCTATAGAATATTTTAAAGTACTTGTTTGATTTCACATATTGTATTGTATCAAATTGTATGGTTACTGACCAATGTAATTGTAAAATACTTGCTCTTTATTTCTTTTATAGTTCAGTTCATTTTCATGTGCTGTGTTTTGTCTTTCTCACAGATACTTAAATGGTTTGCACAGATGTGTTTGGGTATAAATCATATTCATGAGAAACGTATATTGCACAGAGACATCAAATCAAAGGTAATTGGAATCTCCTCAGTAGATTTTATTATAAAATTACTACCAGGCATCTCCTGTTTAGAAAGCTGAAAACGATAAAACCATCTCTGCTATAAATTTCAGTTTAGTATTACTTTAACTATGTACAGATATTTATATGTATTCTTTTTCTTTATCAAACCACTCACGTACCAGTAACAAGGTAGGGTATGTTCCAACTCTATTCATGCTCACTGAACTCCCTTATTGACTGAACTTAAATAAAGTATTATGTTAATTGAAATAAATCAGTAGCTTTCCTACTGCATATCAAGGCATAAGCGTTTAATACCAGGGTGATCTATGCCCCATAAAATTCCAATTGGTATAATAGTGCAGAGAGTTGTTGTCATCATTATTATTATTATTATTATTATTATTATTATTATTATTATTATTATTATTATTATTATTATTATTATTTAAATTTATATACCGCCCTATCTCCCTTACGGGACTCAGTGCGGTGAACAGGCAATAATAAAAATCACAATAAATATTGAATAAAATATTGAATAAAAAGCCTGCTCTAAAATACCCCTTATAAAACCCCTAGCAAAGCCCAATCAAAACTACGCCAGGCTGGCCGCATGGAATAGATGGGTTTTCAAGGCTCGGCGGAAGAGGCGCAGGTCCGTAGTTGTACGTAGGTCGGGGGGGTAGGTCATTCCAGAGGGCAGGAACTGCCACAGGGAAGGCTCTCGCCCTGGGGGTCGCCAGCCGTCATTGGCCGACGGCACCCTAAGGAGGCCCTCTCTGTGGGAGCGGACTGGTCGAAGGGAGATATTGGTTGCTTTCTGATAAATGAGTGTGTTATTACTGGTAATATCCACTCTGGCAGATGTTCTAGTGTTGGAAGTAAAGTGTTGGTCCTGTTTCCAAGCTGGGAGAAAGATGCTGAAAAAATGAATTGAAGGCAGGCTGCAAGTTTTTTTTGGAAAGGAGGTCTCCATTTATTTGGTAGCCAGAAACAACAGTGACTGCAGCATGTTTCTGGGGTGGATGACAAAATAGGGTTGAGAATAGGTGGGCTTTTATACGTTCTATACATTTTATACATATGTCCTTTATATAAAATTACCGACAACGGTCTAAGGATACTCTAGTACATCCCCAATATCGACCGAAATATCCCTTTCCCCCTTTACGTTTAGGATCCACAAAATAAACAGACTCGATTAGAACAGTCAAAGTCGAGGAACGGATACCACAACGGATAAGTTTCAAAGACCGACGAGAAACAAATACTTATCTCACTGGATCGTAAGATGAATGGATACAAAATATCAATAATAATAATAATAATAATAATAATAATAATAATAATAAAAGTTGGAAAGGACCTTGGAGGTCATCTAGTCCAACCCCCTGCTCAGGCAGGAAACCCTATACCATTTCAGACAAATGGCTGTCCAGTTTCTTCTTAAAAACTTCCAGTGTTGGAGCATTCACCACTTCTGGAGGCAGGTTGTTCCCCTGGTTAATTGTTCTAACTGTCAGGAAGTTTCTCCTTAGTTCTAGATTGCTTCTCTCCTTGATATCTCCATCCTAAAGACTAGCCTCTTCAGTCTTCTGCCTGAGGCTGTTTACCTATAGCAGGAAGACTGGGATTACTTTGTGCTTTTAAGAAGTTGTTTCTCCTCTTCTCTTTTAAGGGAAATATTCTTTTTTTTTAAAAAAAAATATTTATTCCTTTTTCACTATACAATAAAAATAAAAATACATTTTTTTCCTTAACAGTACTGTGTTACACATCTCATATATATTATTTACAATTATTTACATTAGTAATCATATCTTTTTGTTTCTCTGTTCTAGCCAATCATAACATTTGTTCCATATCTCATAGAATTCTGTTGCCTCCTTGTCTTTTAGTTCTAGCGTAAGTTTGTTCATTTCCGCGCATTCTAGTATTTTATATATAATCATATCATTTGTAGGTATGTTTTCACCTTTCCAACACTGGGCATATACTATGCAGGCTGCTGTTAATATATGTACAATGATGTATTGGAGTTGTTTTTCCATCTTTAAATTTATTATACCCAAAGGAAATAGTTCAGGTTTGAGTTCAATTTGCACCTTTGCTATCTCCCGTATCCAGTTCCTTATCCGTTCTAAGGGAAATATTCTATTCTGCCTCTTTTTAATATTAGTTATAAAGAATATTTTATTCTCCCCCCACCGAAAGGATGTGATCTTCGTTGATAAGTAACTCGTACGAGGGATTTGTACTAGAGTTTTAAGATTTACACGGGGGTTGGAGGTCTTATCGAGTAGAGATGGTATAATAAACTCAGGTTCGAGTGTCAGTTTACCTCCGTGTACGAAATCGGTTACTGTATTCATGTCTCTAATCATGAACTTAAGGTAAACTGTCAGACTCATCATCGAAATAAGTTAATTTCTTTAATGTAATTTACTAAGGGAGATTTCTGTTTAAGCCGAGTTGGGACATCGTGATTAAAATTGGGATATAATGGTAATAGTAAGAAGTAAGCAAAGGCATCTTGGATATAATCCCAAAACATTTGGAGCCATTGGCATTGACAAAGATAACTATCAGTCAATTGCTATAGGCAGCTTCATTTGGAACAGCTTATATTCTGCAATGATATTTTTAACACTATCAAGCAATAACATCTGCCTACCTAAGGGCCTTGAAAGGGACTCAGTGGGTGGATAAAAATATGAAATCCAGGCTAAACATCTGCCTGAGTGATGAACCAGAATAATGAAATGTATTAATTATATTTATTAATGATTCCTAAACTAGAACATGGAATTAAACCTGGTATATACTATTAATAAGGCCATTAAATAAGGCTGATGCTATAAACACAGATGGTAATACAAGGAGTGAAATCTGTCTATTTTATTTCTGCTTCATAATATAGAATGTATTTCTCACACAAAATGGGAAAATAAAACTGGGAGACTTTGGATCTGCAGTTCTTCTTAAAAGGCAAGTATATGTCAAATTGTGTCTAGAAATCTTTTTTGACTTTTTTAAAAAAATATATCTAATAGTTGGCTGCTGTTGGAATATTCATCTGTTCATCACTAACATTTGTATTTGTTTTTGGACTAGCCCCATGGCATTTGCTTGTTCATATGTAGGAACCCCTTACTATGTGCCTCCAGAAATTTGGGAGAATGTGCCATACAACAATAAAAGGTAAAAATTAATTGAGGTCTACAAGAGTTCTGATTTTAAAACTCTGTAATGTTGAAGAACTAATGGAAAAATTGTATTTAGTGCTCACAATTTGAGAACATTCCTCAATTTACAAACATGATTCAAAACTAAATATTTTTTTTATGCAGTGGTGGCAAGGAATAACTGATCGAACTAAAAAAAAGAATTTTCTTTACAAATATTTTTAAATAATGTAAAGGGAATGTATTCCATGCAAAAGACAATTTCATAAGGCAGGTTTTAATAACCTCAAGTCTGGGGAGATCCGTACAGCACGTTAGAGTTAGTACCCTCCGAAATTTAGAAACAGTTATATAAATAACTTGCTTATGTGAAGTGGGGTCTGGCTGCTCAAGAAAGTGTTCTTGGGTGGAACAGACAGATCCTGTTGGACTGTCTGATTTTTAATATGTTGTTTAAATTACTAAGTGCATGTTTATAGCCCATAGATAGGAACTCCTCTTTGGAGAAGCCATTTGCTCTTCAGTATTTTGAGTTTTTCACTCCGTCTATTAACTTTTGTTATGTTATTGTACAACCTTTTAATCCGTGACCATAATAACAGGTTTGATTTGATTTCAGCAAGTGATCATAATCAAGTGATCCTCTAAATAAGAGAATGAATGAGTGAATTAATTAATATAATGGCAACCTTCCTTTCCTACATTTAAGGACTAGGCTGCCAGTAAAAGAATCAATAGCACAGGAGAAAACTACAATACAGTACAATAACTAAAAGGTTACTATTTGGAATGCTGGCAGCAAATATTAAAATTACACTTATTCATCCCTCCCAAATAAACTTAGAAGGAATGATGCTACTTCTGAAAAAAATAAATAAACTTAGTCTCACTCAGAAAGAACTTTGATATTGAAAATAGTAGCATTAATAGTAACCAAGGGAAATTTATGTTCTAGTAAGAAACTGAGCAAGATAAGATTTTCTCTTTACCTTCTCCATGCTGTCCTTTAAATTAGTTCACTTATTCTGCTGGCAGAATAAGGTTGAGCTCATTTGTCATCATGTCTAGTTGCATTTTAATTTCAATATGTGGATTTGCTATTGGAGAAAAAGAGACATAACATTTTGGTAGGGTTCAGGAGTCTATTTAACATTTTGTTCTCTGCTTCACAATGTTTTATTGCTTCTCTCTTCCAGTTTCTCCTCATTAGAGTTCAAAGGGGAGAAAGTTCAGCAACCCCTGCTTCCCTCAATTCTTTATTTTATTATGTTAAACTTTTGTTGTGATTACAACAATTAGGAAGCACTGCCTCATGGTTTTGCAGTATCCGACATTCTGTCTGACGTGGTTATTTTTAATTCTTCAGGCAGCACTTTAGGAACAAAAAAGAAAAAAAAACCCTCATAACTCATTTTTAGCAAATGTCATGCTAATTGTGATCTTAAGCTAACATATTTAAATCTTGCTTTTCTAGTGATATTTGGTCTCTGGGTTGTGTTTTATATGAGCTGTGCACCTTAAAACATCCAGTGAGTATTCTTTTTTATGTTTTATTTCCAAGAAAAGATGCAGTTCCTATGTATTTTCTCCCCAGAGAGCAACACTTTAATTTTGTAACATATACATACTAGAATGTGTATAGAACAATATAATGTAGCTCAATCTAATGACATTAATAATTGGCCCTATAGGCCGCATAGTAAATGTGTAAGGAAAAAACTGAGATTAAAAAGCAAAAAATATAGCATATCGTAGGTGTCAGCTTTCATATCAGAGATGAAAACAAATCTTAACTCCCCAGATATTAAATCCCACATTCAGAATGTTTTTGAGCAGAAATCTCATTGATCTGAAAGACCTAGATTATTTTTAATTGTAGAGAAGAATGAAATCAAATAGCAGAAAATACCTGCCTAATTGCAGGAAGAGCTTTTAAAGCTTATGTGCTGCATAGGTCTGTGCTCCAAAAAGTAGAGTCTCGTTAAATTAACTTTTAATTTCATTAAAAAATTAAAAATTCTTGGCTTTTCCCTCATACTCAAAGGCTATGAAAGGCTTCTGGGTGATGTTGAAGCAATGGTTTGCCCAAGTTTAGGAATCACTGGTTTCTCTTGCACTGCCTTTATTCCTGACTATAGAATTCTTACTTCCAATGTATCACATACACCGTTAGCTCATGAACATGAATTGTGCAAAGATGATATGAATGAATTTTTGTAGAGTTTTTAATAAACTAAATATGTTAATACTACTAAGCTCTATGTTTTTCCTGTATTCGTTCAATTTAGTTTCAAGCTAAGAGTTGGAAACATCTTATACTTAAGATATGTAAAGGATACTACAATCCACTTCCATCACACTATAGCTATGAACTTCACTATTTGATAAAGCAGATGTTCAAGATGAATCCCAAGTACCGTCCATCAGCTAGTACAATTCTTGCAAGAAAGTGCGTGGCAAAATGTATTGGACAATCTTCATTACCAGAGGTAATAGCATACAAATGCTATTGTATTTAGGTTGGAAGTAGGAACGATGTTTCATGTCTCATGTGGGCATACTTGCTGTACCTACTGATAGCTCTTCAGAAAGCTACAGCTTTTCCTTCGTAGAAACAGTTACCACGGTCCTTCCCAAAAATGTGAGTTAAGGGAATACTGTCTTTGTATGAGTTTCTCTCTCCAAGTTTCTTCTCCAAATTGAATGGGCTGTTTGGGTCATATCAACACATGCCCCAAACTCCCATTCCACTGCATTCTGTGGCTTCTATGAAGTCTCCAAGGACAGCCCCATATGGAGTGCATTACAATCATCTAACTATGAGATGATTAGTGTGTGGGTTATTGTTTGAAGAACTTCCCAGTCTAGGAGCAAGCATCTCTGGTGTACTGGTTGTAGTTGGGTTGAGGCCCTTTTGGCTAAAGCTACCACCTCATAAGCTCTTTGAGCAGGAGCTGTGAGGTAACTCCAGATTGGGCAACAGTTTTAAATGGGGAAGTCCAACTCAATCCAAATCTAAAAATGAAAAGTCTCCAGATTTGGGAAGAGGGGGACAAAAATCCACAGACATTTTGTTTTGGCAAGATTGAGCCTGTCTGTATCTCCCCATCCAGATCCACATCACCTTCAAATAAAGGACATTGATGGCAGCACTTGGCCTGCCCAAGGTCAAGGTGAACTGGTATTGTCCACATATTGATAGCAGTCCCCAAACAAACAGATGAGGTCCCCCAGGTTTTTCCTGTAGAATGGGAAACAAGAATGCATCAAAGAGGCATCCCACAAATGAGGGGCTTAGTATGCGACCTCACCCTTGCTTCACAGTGTTCCTGCAGATACTCCTCCCCAGCAAGATCATGTCATCTTAAACTGGGCTGGTAGATCACTGTTGGCACATAAAATAAGGGTGGAGAAATACTGATGTTTCAACATTCTATCACCATAGCATAATCCTGAATATTTGCATTTGCTCTTTGTCTTCCCCCAACAGTGCTCAGGAGTCTATTCTGGGACTTCATTTTCTCAAATCAAATCATTCTTTTTTTAGGGTGAATTTCATTTGGCATTTGAGATCAAGACTCTTTTTTTTATGCTTGATAGCATACAATTTAATTACTGAATAGTTGGTATTCAGAAATGTGTTTCTTTTCCTGATAAAAAAGGAATGTATTTAAATGCCTCACTTTTTTCCAACAGAACAGATTTTTCTTTCCTAATTTTCCTGAGAGAACAGATTTTTTTTTTTGCTTGTCTTACTCAGTTTTTACATCTGCTCAAGAGTTTTAAGGATCCCCCTGAGCAAATATAGTGGCCATATGTGGAGGGAACATAATAGCACAGGAAAGTCTTTTTATGTAAATGGATACTTACTCATATAATATTGAGCATAGCATGACCCCCAACTTTATTTAGGTTGTTCAGTTAATAATGATATCTTCATCTTATGAAGGAGGGTGGTACGTATGCAGGAAGCAAGAATAGTTGTTCAGAAACAGAAGCCATCTCCAAGAGCTTCGGGGAAATGGAACTGAAGAAAACAAGTGTGGATCAAAAAGGTACATGTTGAATTTAGAAACTATCTGTTTGGAGACCGTGATCTGGAATTAGTTTTCATAAGGTTGTGTGGCTTACACCTGTGTAGATGATTAAAGCTTTTCTGACAATGCATTCCTAGGAGTGTTTATCAGAATTCAGTGAGAGTTGCTTCTGAGTAGGATTGCACTTTCAAACAATAAACAACAGATTACCAGATTGGTATGTATATCATAGTGGAGATTTTTTCAAACACCTTTACCCTAAAGTTCTAAATATACTCTTTACTTTCTTATTTTAAACATATTTTAACATTTAAAAGCTTTTTATTATGGGGACAGGGTTATAGAAGATAAAATCTGAATTGCGTGAGCGAAAGATCACTCAACAAGAATTTCTTATCTACTTTCTGAAGATATCTGTGCTTTCCCAATACATTTTTCAAAGTCTCAAACATTTAGTACAGATAAGAACAATTTCTACAATGTTAGGGCCACAAATTAGCCTCCTGAATGCCATCACAAATTGTCATGCTGATATTTTTGGCCTTTTTCCAATATTTATTGACCCTTTTTGTGCTTTAGATTTTAAAGGCACAAATAGGAGAGGGAGACAGTGCTATCATTATCAGTCTTAATCTTACCTCAGATATGGCTAAAATTACACCACAAAAGTTGACCATTTTTTTCCCAGTCAGTGGCATGATACTGGTTCCTGGGGGTCCACAAATAGGATGCTGGAGGTACCTCTGCAGGTTGGTAGAAAATAAGAGTTAATATGAAAGAGTCACTGTTCTTTCCACAAAAGCATTCTTTTTCAAGGGCTTAAATCACATTTCAGCCATACAAAATACTATAGTGATTGTTGGAGATAGGGAATATTTAAGGATTCTATGAAATTTTCCTAAAACATTTCTTCAAAAGGTTTTTCCAAATACTGTACTATTTTTTCCAGAACTTCATAGAAAAAAGTGGGAAAAAGGAGGATCCAGTACAGTGATCAAAATTTTGGAAAATGCACCTTTACTTTCTTCCAGTATTGCAAACAAGGAGGACACAGGTAAGATAATATGCATATTTATTTGCATATTATGTATTATTTGCCATTAGAGACATTTTTAAAGATGGTATTCTCCCCTATGCCTTCCCCAATAATCTCAGCTTGTGTAAGAGACAAAGAGGTGTGAGAAGAACCAGTTGGATGTTGAATGATAAACTGGCAGGGCTCCATTTTCAGTATAGAATGAGAACACAGATGAAGTAGTGAGTGAGTTTGCCTCATAGGCAAAATTTCAGACATCTTCAGCCAAGCTCTCCTGGAATTACCATTTTTGACTTGCATATTTTTTATGTCAGTGCAGCATGTAGAAAGAGAAAAAGGTTCCACAAACCTGTGGGTGAAGAATCCTAAATCTATAAAGTATTTAAAAAGCTGTGAGAAAAGGATATTGTTTTGAAGGAGTGCAGGGAAACCAGAAGGAGAAAAGAGTTCTGCTTGATTAGATAATTTTCCATTTAGGTTGTCCAGAATTTTTACTAATTTACCTGGAAACAGTTTTTGCCCTGATCTTGGAGAATGATATCAGACATCAGAATGGTGGGAATGATACTAGAAATTAACTCCAGAAAACCATGTCAGTTTTAAGTTGATGCTGTCTTCCCAGATCTAGGTGGGTTTGTGATTTGCTTGCTTTATTGTCATTTGTTCCCAACTTCTCTGCTACTTTTGGCATCTTTTTGGGAGGACAGAAACCAAGAGTAGGGTAGAAATGGTAATTCCTAAAGGATTCAGAAAGCTTGGATTCATTCTCAACTGAGATTGTTTGCTTGTTACCCCTTTTTGATGATATATATACTGTGGCCAGTAGATAAGGCAGACACAGGCCATTGTCTGTAAAAATCTTGAACTGGGATTCCTTGAGAGATGTGTTACAAACGAGGCCTTAATGATTATTTAGGTTGACTATCTTACCACAAGCCATAAGTAGTCTCTTAGAGGTTCAGCACTAACCATTAAAAGGTGAGTCTATTTGGATACTCTACATTAGACATGTCAAACTTGCGACGTCACATGATGTCGCGCAACGTATCGGGATGGTTTTGCCATTGCCGGCAATAGGGTGGGCGCAGTTTCCGGATGATGCGTCCAGCCCACGGGCCAGCAGTTTGACACCCCTGCTGTACATTATCCAGGAGCCCATTTAGGCTTTTCAAACATTTGTGATTGAAAGTGAATAGTGAGAAAACATTGTTACATACAGCAGTTGTACATTTAGAACTGCAGTTTCAACATCTATGGCATAGAGCTGCATCATATATTGATTTATTTCATTTTGGGGTTGTTGTTTTTCGTCAGATTGGGATGACATACAGTCCTCGGATTTTCCATACTCAAAATCTTTCTGTTAGATATACTAATGTGTATTTAATTTGAAAGATGCTAAAGCATATGATTTAGAACAATGAATTTAGGATAGTGAATTAATTGTGCCCACCACCAAAATGGGAATTACTAGTTAAAAAAAAGAGTTTCATTTTTTGTGATCTTAAGTTTATTTATGGTATGTAGTATTATAACATTCTTTTTGGAAGGTTTCTGGCAGTGGTTTAAGGTGATTATTTGAGGTTCTATAGTTTGAAATTGGAAAAAGGATAATTTCTCCAGTAATTTGTATTTCTGTCCTTTTAATTAGGTGGCTGTGTGAGAAAATATGATGAAAACATCGCACGTAAACAATGGAATAAGGAGCCTTCACAAACTTTAATGAATATTCTTCATAATGCTGATGTTGCCTTAGCTTTTAAGACATACACAATCCACAAAGCAGGTAAATCTTTTTTTTCCTCATCATAGTGTGGTCCATTTTGGTGTTCTTAGAACAGGTGCTTTTAGCATGTGATGTTCATGGTCTGGAGATTGGGAAGGTCTTACAAAAATGAAATTAGAGTTTCTGAAGCTTCGGTGAACCAGCATAGTTGCTGTGGATTTCAGCTTTGAGCTCTCTGGATGGCACCTTCAGTGGGAAGGTGGAACCGTCTTTCGACATTTCAGCTGAACTGGTGGCTGGTCTTACAACTGCACTGAATGCTCTTCTCCAAAATGGCAAATAGAGGTTATAGTGGTGGCAGCAAAAGTGGTGGAAACAGTGAATGTGGCCACAGTGGAGCAGCAGAAGAGCGACCTATCAGCTATTCCTGAATGTCCAGAGATTCGTTGTTAGGTAGTTTGCCAATTATAGCAGAGCTGCAGAAAGACCACTTTTTGTGGCTGCAGCAACAATGAACAATCTTTTGCCTGCTGTCCCAGAATGAACTGGTCTACCTGCTCTCACTACCTTCTGAGGTTTTTAGGATAAGATGTGATTAAACCTTGGTGCTGAGTCTCAGTGGGAGCTGGAGTTAGCTGGTGGTTTTAATATGGTTTGCAGGCAATGGGGATTATAGCTGCTCTGGATGGGAGATGTAAAGAGGGGGTGCGGGAGGGTTACCTTAGCAATGGAGTGCTTGTTTGATTGTTTCTTTTCATTTGCTCATTGATTTCTCCTGATGAGAATAGGGAGTCAGATTGTTGGTGGATGAGGAAATAGTGGGAATTGGCAGGTTGCGTTTAAGTGCTACGTGAAAAAATAAGGGAGCAAGGTACAGTTTTATTGATTTTCTTACTGATTTTTAAAATGTCTGAATGGAAATAACCACGAACATTTGCACTGATTTTTAAATATTAAAGCCTCAGATGACCTACTGAGAGGACCACTTACAGGAGAGAACAACGCAACTGATGAACCAGATGGTGAAACTTTTATGGAGGATACAGAGAGATTTGAACCTAGATCAGATGAAGAAGACACGTATGTTGAAATACAGTTTGAAAAACTAATTGTTGGAATGCTTTTCTATTTTTCTTCAATGCAAACATGCCTCATAAAAACAATCCAATTGTAGCTTCATGCCATTTTTGAGTTGTATTTATCTTTTAGATCTCTCCTCCCCCTTTGCCCCCCAATTCTGTTTCGATCAGCAGAAGTCTTGTCACTCAATGTGATACATTCCTAATTCAGTTTAGGAGCAGGTATACTATAATAAGTAATATGTAGAACAAATTCTGAATCTTAAATTTTATGATACATGAATTTCATGATATTATAATCTCATGAAATTATAGTCTCTCTTAAAACATGAAAAATTGAAAATCATTATAAGTGATCTACCATACAGTGTATTATGCTACCACCAGAGCATGACATTTGAACTCATCTGCCTTTTATGTAAGAATATGGTGGTTATTACATATTTACTATTCTGTATTTTCAAGGAGCCCACTAGCACAGAAAAGTATCTGATTTATATGTTGTGGCCTTTGTCTACCAATAAAAATATTGAAGATTATTAAGAACAGAATCATAAAGCTGATGTGTGACCAATGAAAGTTCTCAAAACAAATAGGCAAAATTAAACAGAGAACATAAATATTTGTTTCAGACATTCAAAACTTTTCCCAGAGAAAAATAATCTGTTTTTCAAGGACATACAGTATTATATATGCATTTTCACTGTAATGGACAACAGAACAGATTGTACAGAAATTTTTTAGAATTTATAGAATAATTTTAATGATAAAATTACTTTCTGGGAGTCCCTATGGTTTCTAATCAGAAAATACATTTATTTAGTAGTTATGAATTTCTTTAAATGATAATCTCCCTTTCTTCCACTTAATTATTCTTTATATTTTCATAGGGATTTTGAAGCAGAAGACGATCCAGACTGGATTTCTGAATTGCAAAAAATGATCAAACCAATGGAACTGAAGAAAGAAGTACCAATAAATAATCCAGTTTCAGTGCAGAAATATTGCTGAACCATTTCAGAAACTAGCAGCAACAAACCAATTGACATGATGATTTCAGATATATTTCTTTGAGGAAGCAAATTTAATTTGGGTTTATTTTTTGATGCAAAAAGGGTATAGCAATTACATTCTTCTTAGAGATACTAAAATAAGCACTTTTTACATAGAATTTTTAACTCAGTATAGAAATATTCTGTCAAAATCAGAAATATATCAAAATCAGAAACATATCTTATTAGAGTACAGACTAGGAATAGCACATTCTGAGATATAGAGAGCAAGATATGACTTTCATGTTATCCCTCTCTGTCGTTTCCTATTCCTAGTCCTTTGGGAGTGGTGGACTTAAAGTGGCCAGGCTTCAGGGAAGATTGAGTCTGGATTTCAGAATATGGCAATATCTAAATAGATATTAGCATTAATTACAACTCACCTTTTTATTTGATTGTGTGTTTTATAATTGTTAATAAACCTCCTCATTTCAATTCTTCCTAATTTCCAAAGGGATATCTTCTGGAACCATGTCTTTCATCAGTATGATTTCAGGAGCCATGTCTTTCATCAATTTCTGCTTTTTATTCTTCAGTTATATAAACTTAATTCATTGAATGCAGTTAGGGAGCTGGTGCTTGGAGAGCCCTATTTATCCTAGATAGGAAATCCAAGAAGGAGTTGGCCAGTTGATTCTTGGCAGGATAGATGTTGGCAGCATAATCACCAAACAAACAACCCTGCCATTACAATGGTGTCCTATCAGAATTTTTGCAAAAGAATCTAGTTATCCCTCCAAGGACTGCTTATTTGTTTATTTCAAACATTTATATAGCTTCTCATCTTGTACTAAATTCTGGGCAGCTTACAGTTGTTAATAAATAAATATTGCATTATTAAATATATAATAAAATTAGTATGTAATTTTATTTATTACAATTAGCATGAAGTTTTACTTATATATTATTTAATACATTATTTAATTTACTATAGTTACCTTAAAATAGCTACAATTGGTGCTGATCATCAAATTTATGTGTTAAATTTAATCTAGTAAAAATCAAACTTTCAGACTCTTAATGTATCTTCCTTAAACTGGATTTCAGTAGATGTTTTGAATTTATTTCCATCTTAGGCAGCCTAGTTGATCATGCCGGATATGAATTATGGAAGAGAATTGGAATAGATATATTAACTTTAGAAATCTATAAGTCCTGATGTCAAAATTACATATGCCTACTGTTATGCAAATAGAAAGTGGCTACATTTGTTTGATGTACATAAGAAAGTTGCATCATGTAATTGTACATATGTTATCATGTGTCCCCTCCCATAGATGCTCATGGTTAGACATTGTCCCTTGGTATTAAACCTTGTGGTATAAGTCTGAAAATGTTATAACAATACTTTCAAATCATTACTTTACGCAATTGGTAAGCTGCTATATGTGCTTGATTTATATTTTAGTGATGGTTATGGAGAGGGATTGTTTTTGTTAAGATAACTACCTAAT